TATGAAAACAAAAAATCAAATGGAAATTCTAAAAGTGAAAAATAAAATAACTGAATTAAGAATTCAATAAAAGAGTTTAACAGTAGATTCAAGCACAGGAGCTGATTAGTCAACAAGAAGATATGTCAATAGAAAATATCCAGACTGACGCATAGAGGGGAAAAAAGAAAAAAAGGAAAAAAAGAAAATGAAGAAAAGAACGCAAAACATATGCAGTGCAATGAGATCTCATGTACACATAATTAGAATCTCAGAACTGCAAGATAAAAAGTTGGGCAGAAGTAATATTTGAAGTGACACAGGCCAAGAAATTTCCATAATTTAAGAATGGCATTAGGTCACAGATTCAAGATGTTACAGAAACTCTCCATCAAAGAAAATGCCACCAAATCACATCACAGAATAACTGCTAAAATACAAAGACCAAAAAAATGAACAAATAAACAAAAAACTGTAAATGCAACCAGAGAAAACCACACATTTCAATGGTGTAACAATAAGACCTACAACTGACTTTATAACAGAAATGATGGTAACCATAAGACAATGGAATAACATCTTTTCTAAACTGAAAGAGTAACTGCCAACCTATAATTCTGTGCTATGCAAGAAATCCTTCAAAAATCAGGAAATATTAATAAAAAACATTTTCAGGTGAATCAAAATTGGAGAATTTGTTCAACAGACTTGTACTAAAAGGCAGAAAAAAGTAAGCCCAGGGAAGGCTTAAAAATTTATGAAGACATAAAGGACTGGGAAAAGCAATTATATATGGATAACTTAAAATGAATATTGACCATATATACAACAAATAACATATATAATATTACAACAAATAATGCACAAGCAACAATAATGTCTTCTTGTCATGTGATTTAGTTCTGCATCTATTTTATACCCCACAATACCAAACATGATGATGGTGGGGCGTATTTTAAGGCCACTGAATTCACTACATGGACAATGATCAAAGTACTAACTTATATTAGACTAGAAAAACAATTGAGAATATTTTCATTTCTGGGAAAGCTATAAAAGAAGAGTAAAAGAAAAAGCCATAAGAAGGGAAAAACTGGAATCTTTTTAAATTGAAAATTCCAAAACAGGCAACAAAAAGTGAAAAATGGGAGCAAAGAACAGAATGGTTAAATAGAAAATAAGTAAAAAGACAAGAGAATTAATACCAGTTTGGGAGGCCTAGGCGGGCAGATTGCTCAAGGTCAGGAGTTCGAAACCAGCCTGAGTAAGAGCAAGACCCTGTCTCTACTATAAATAGAAAGAATGTAATTGGCCAACAATATATATAGAAAAAATTAGCCGAGCATGGTGGTGCATGCCTGTAGTCCCAGTTACTTGGAAGGCTGAGGCAGCAGGATTGCTTGAGCTCAGGAGTCTGAGGTTGCTGTGAGATAGGCTGATGCCACGGCACTCACTCTAGCCTGGGCAACAAAGTGAGACTCTGTCTCAAAAAAAAAAAAGGCCAGTTATACTAAATAAAAAAGACTAAATATTTCAAATTAAAAAACAAAGACTATTAGATTCGTTGGGGAAAAAACAATACAACATCTGCTGTCTACAAGACACGTTCAGATATCAGAATCAAGAAAGGTTGAAAGGAAAACAATAGAAAACGATATACCATGAAAACACTAACCAAAAGACAGCTAATACAGCTAAACTAATAATGGGGGGAAAAAAACTATTGTAAGGCAAAAATCACTATTATGAATAAAGAGGTGTATTTGATAATATTACAAATATCAATCTACCATAAAGATATAACTATTCTAAGTTTGTATGCACTCAGTAATACAGCTGCAAATTCTCAATATCTAAATCAATAAAATGACTAGAATTCATTTTAATGTATATTGAGAGCTGAACATTCATTTGCTTCAGATCCCTGTAATACCTGGGGCTATATAAATTATAAAATACTTTCTACAATTTTAGTTATGTTCTAGTTCTAGATTTAGCTTTATTCCAGTAAACTTAAGAAAAACACTAATAAACTTGTTTTTATGTATTTAAATTTGCATAACGAAATTGTCTTTTCTTATATTGGGAAACATTATGGTAAAGCCCTCTTCTCCATATACCTGACTTGATAATGTATATAAATCACTTCATTCATTCAGAGAATATATTTTAAACAAGATTAAATATACTGGATTCCTCAATAGGATGCAAAATGATTTTGGAAATATCACAACACAATCTCTTTGAATTCCCCATTCATCACCCCTAATATGATGGTAATTATAAAAGCACCCCACTTAATACAACAAAGATACTATAAGGTTTAACAGGCTAAAAGAACAATTACTGTTCAGCACTACTAGACATAAATAACTGTCAGATTCCTAGAACTGTTATAATTTACTAAAGTAGCTTTATTATAATAAATGTGAACTAATTATTTTTCATTTGGTAATATTATTGACTAACATACTATGAAGATTACAAGAAAATCACCTGCATTACTTCTACAACTGATTGCTCTACAGAAACTCGTTTGACTTTTCAAAATCCAACTTGTACTCACTTTTAGCATATTTTCTTCCTAGTCTAATTTTTAACCACTTAATAAACTTTTTCTATGCTGCTCATCTTCTTTCAACATTCAGTATACTATATATATGTACATACACACACACAATAGTATATTTAGAGAGTATATATATTCAAAATAACCTATAATCAGCTTCTCCATAAAAAAAGTGATTCTTTCTCTGTCATTAATATCTCCATTCATTTGGAGAGGCAAATCAGTTTGTAATTTCAAATGTCTTAATCCTTCAGTTAAGTATTACAGTTACTCTAAAATGGTCTGTAAATTTTTCATAAAAATTAATAGGCCAAAGAAAATTGCTCCCTTCTTCTGAGAGCTTTCACTAAAATCAAAGACAAGTTTAATGTCTACCATATACCAGATACTTTTACGTATATTATCTCATTTGATCTCATTCTAATCACATTTTAGGAGAAGAAATTACAACTGAGAGAGATTAAACAATGTGCCAAAGGTTATACATGTAATAAGAAAAGCTGGGCTTTGCTCCTAGGTGTGTCTGTTTACAAAGCCAAGATCTTTCCACTACCAGACGTTGGCAACTTAATGTAAAGAGCAAGACGGTTAATATTTTAGTCTTTGCAAACCATATATAGTCTCTGTCACAACTACTCAACTCTGCTGTTGTAGCACAAAAGCAGCCATAGAAAATACAGAAACAAATGAGAGCAGCTGTTTTCCAGTAAAACTTTATTAACAAAAACAGGTAGAGGGCTAAATTTAACCCAAGGCCCATAGTTTGCCAATCCTTGCACTATACTACAATGCATTCCCTTAGACAGCCTCTGTTAGTTTTTCATTAAGATCACTAAATTTTCTTTCTCTCTCACTTTTTTAAAAAATATGACCTTAGTCCTACCAAGCAATTTTATTTTCATGCTTTTCTTACTAGGCTCAATTATTTGAAACAGGTTACTCTGGGAAATATGTATAATCTTTTACATGTTCTAACTATAATACCAATGAAATCTATAAATAAGATAAAATATTTCTAAAACTATAGTACTAGCATGTACTATATTTTCAGCATGAAAATGTTAAATACCTATATTTATTAATAAAATTCTCCCTTTGGAACTTTTTTCAGTTATTAGTATCTAATTTTACTTGCTCAGTAAACATAATCACTACAAGGTCCCACTAATATATTTAGCAAAGCAACAGCAAATATCCTCTTTCAATTAATCAAAATGATCATGTATACTAAAAATATCTAAATACATAGATAGAACTTAAAGACTTTTTTCACTCTCTCTCATCCCAAAATTTAGCTGTATGTACCACCACTGAATTTATTTTTTAAAACATAAAATATTTAAACAGTATAAACTGGTATCAATAGGAAAGAAAAATTCTCTTCCACATCAAGAGTATTATTCTTTCTCCCTCCCCCACCCCCTACCTTACATCCTCGCATGGATACTTGCACATTCTCTCTCTCTCTCTCTCTCTCTCTCTCTCTCTCTCTCTCTCTCTCTCTCGCTCGCTCGCTCGCTCACACACTCGCTCGCTCCCTCTTGCTCTCTCGCTCTCTCTCTCTCTCACACACACACATACACACACACACAGTATTTTAGAAGACACAATCCAATTCCAAATAGAGTGGAAAAAATAATTATCAAAACACATACAGAATCAGCTTGAAATCCCAGCTCTACAATTAAAACCAGTTGAATAATCACTTCCTAGCTTTGTGCCTTCAGTACTTTACTTAACTTCTATTAGTCTCCGTTTTCCCATTTATAAGAATGAGGTGGAGGGGAGAATCATACCTGCCTCACGAGGTTGCTGTGGGCATTAAAGTGAGACTGAAAATGAGATGCCCATAGCACAGCGTTGACATATAGTCAAGGAATCAAAAATTCTATTTGATGCTATTATTATCACCCCCACCATCACCGTTTGGGGCAAGTCTTAACAAATCTACTGCAGTTCTTCTACAAAATGGAAAAACACTGCCTCAAATAGCATATATGTAAGGATAACTTTTTAAAGCACCCTGAAAATTCATCTTATCATTATTTTTAAAAGCCAAAAGGGAAAAAGTGCTCTTTCTCAAGAACATAACTGTTCCTTTGACAGCCTTTAAAAATTAAACTAATTATATGTTTTTATCCCAGAAAAATAAGAAGTTAACATTTTACCTTTGTTTTCCTTATTTCAGATATTTTTAAACCAAGACACATATATTGAAAGATTGAACATGTTGATTTCTAAAGAAATCCACTAATAAATAATCACAAATGGATTTGGTTAAAAGGGAATGTCAGACTAGGGTCTATTTTCTCAATTCCAATATTTTAAAATTCACCAATTTGGGGGTATATTTCTGTTGATTTTGTTTTTAATCTTCTGCACTTAAAAGAATCACATGTTAATAACTATTGCTACAGCTGCTCTAACATTAGTGCATATAAACATTTCTTACCAAATTACGCTTTTTTAGTGGAAGAAAATAATAATAGTGGCAGAAAGAAAACATCAGTGCGTAGGAAGTAAGAAGTTCAGTGTAGAAACACAACTGCAGAAAAAGCCAATGATTATCTTCACCAACACAATTGTTAATCCTGAAGAAAAAAATGAAAAAGAAATAATATTTTAAATGTTAATAAGATGTTCATTTCAGGATCCATAAGACAAAAAATAAATACAAATAACTTCACATATGCTTAACTTCATGGAAATATGCTAAAGCCACTCAAACCTAAAAGAAAACTGTGCAAAGATATAAATGTACCATCTTACATTTGTAAAGCATGACTTTACAAAGGAAGTCCATGTATATGATCCCCCTTCAACTCAACCTCAACTCAGTTAGGCAGGAAGAGCAGATGGTAGTCTCCTTGTCTCATTGATATGGAAATAGAAACAAAGGAGGTAAGCCACTAGCCAGAGAACACACAGCAAAGATGGGTCCAAGAGAGCAAGAATCCTCTTTTCCTGTATATTACTCTTCCATTACAGCATCCGAGCTAGGGAGACCAATTTGAATGCTCTAAAGTAAAATAGCTTAAACTTGTCACTCTAACATAACTGCTAAGCCTTTGCAATTTTTTTTATTACAAAAATCCCTGATTCCTGAAAATAAAAATGTATTCAAAAGCATTTAGAGCCATACTTTCACCAATACAACAGTAAACTCCAGGGAAAAGCATTAATGCTATAATCCAAAAATTTTTAAGGCTAATATAAGCAGAATATTTTATTGTTCTAATTTGTTGTATCCAAATTTTCATAGTATTTTAAATTCCAGCAGAAAATCCTAGCTCAAAACTACAAATTACCTCGCACAAATATTTTCATTTCAAAACAGCATTATACCGTCACACACACACAAAAAGATATAACACGTTCCAGTTCTAACTTAAAAATTGTTCTTTTTAAGGTGTGTCATCAAAGTGAAACGTAGAACTTAAATGAAAAACTTTGTGGAGGCATTTCTTATACTTAAGAGCACGTGCTTTGTAAACAAGAAAATTTTACTGTGTTTTGTTATCTGCAAGCAGGCCTATAAGAGAAGTGTGCTTACATATGCACTCAAAAATGTTCTTTAACAGCTGTAGCATGAAAGATGGCTTATCCTTGTCCCATCCTTCCTGTCCCCCAAAAGTTTGAGGAACAATTGCTCTGATCACAGCATTCTTCTTAACCCGAGAGCTTTAAAAAGCACAAAGGTACTCAATCTATCTGTAAGAGTACTTTTTGTAACATTTAAACTACTTAGAAAGAATGATCAGAGCAAGAAAAATAGAAAACTGGAGGCAATCTGAGAATTAATCTCTAAATCTAAAGCTGTTAGGCAGTTAAGATAATGCAGTTCCTCGAAACATCAAAAATTCTCCTTGCTTACAATTTACACTGTACATCTCCCTTACTCTCTGAACATCTCAGAAGTGCTCTATTAGGAAATTCATTCATGAAAATTTCTAAATCTATTTAGGTCCCTTGTCTACTCTCCTTTCTGATGATAATCCAATCTTTCCCACTTTCCCTTCCCTCCTACCAATATTCTGAAAAGTTGACTAAAATTGTGAAAGCCTAGAAACAGATAAATCGCTCCCATGTTAGAATTTAGGTTAAATAGCACTTTCTTTGGTCACCAACAAGTTAGTCTGTATCCCTTAAAAATAAACAAATATCACTAATTCTACAAAAACATTTCCTAGTTGACTTTTTATAATTTTAAACTATTGAAAGGAGGCATAAATATCTAACTATACCATGAACATTTATATTTTAAATCAGAAACACTACTATAAGAAGTGCTTAAAATTAAGTTTTTCAGTGTGATTACCACTCATCTGAATACATGTTTTATCTAGCTTTTTAAACTGTATTACTATTGTGATGGCAAATAGATCACTGAGCTTTAGAAAATTACTTGGGAATTAATCTGTTTAAATGCAAGGCACATTTTTTGAACACCAACTCTATGTCATATACTATGCTATCTTGTTGACAGTCTTAGACAGTTTTTAAAATTTTTATATAGTAACAAAGTGCTTTTATCTAAGGTGCTCTTATTTTTTCCTAATCTCAGGAAATTACCTTATATTTAAATCATCAGTTTATAGTCAAAACCAAATTTCTACTAAAAGTTTAATAATTAGCTGTCTATCAAAATAAGTTGTCAAAAATAAGGGAAACTCTAAATTGATTAGCATTATAAGACAAAGCTAAATTCTACTCTTGAGTCAACTTTAGATAAATGCAGTTATAAATCTAAAGCATTAACTGCCATGAGAGTTGTATTTAACTCACATGAATTTTGAGCCTAGGGCCTCATGAGACATATGTAACTGACATGTTCTCTTTACCTTAGGAGCCGTGTGGTACGCAGGGAACTCACACTGCCATGCTGTAGCATACCTGTTACGTGATAGCTGGCCCCCTGGGCAAAACCCTGCAATTGGTTTGTGAAAATCTTACTTGTTGACATCCTTATTGTTACAATTAATATTGACAATTTAATTGATTTAACTGCATATAAGTCATGCAGAGAAAATTTAAAAAATTCATTAAATTGGAAAGAATCATTTTGTTTTCAAAGTTTTTATTCTATTTTTGTAATAAAACACTGGTGGCCCCAAGGGAAAAAAACTTTTTTTCTATTGTGGCAGTCAATGTGTTAAAAAGCCTATTATGCAGTTAACTTTGCATATATGCATACATGTGTGTACAAATACTCCATATATGTACATAGATCTGTTTATAAAGTGCTATACTATACCAGTTTAAATATTTATACAGAGATCCAATGCTAAGAAAACTGAATTAAATACAATATCTTCTTCACAGATTTTTGTGACAGCTTTGAAATGAATTACAATAAAGAATTCTCACAGCATTTGTTTTCAAAAATTCTATTTCTCAACTGAACATTTTCTTTAATATTACAAGAGAGCCCCCTATTGACCAAAAATGTTGAAAGTTCAGCAGAATCAGCAAATTATCATTTATACACATCCAATATGTGTATAATGCTAATACATACATCTAATACATAATACTTTAAAAGGCTTAAGGGATAACATGGGGCTTTTCAGGGTATCTGAAATGTGTTATTAATTAAACAAATAGGGGATAGAAACACTTGGATGTATATGGTTTATCATGACTAGCAATAGGTACTATTTAAGTTCTTCCTACTTGTCAGATAATGTACTAAATGCTTTACATACATGGCCTCATTTAAAACAAACACCTTAGTCTTTTGTGTATTTGGTTGCATGTTAATTGTTAAGTTTTCTGCTCAAATCTCTCTTTGTTACAAAAGATAGGATTCTGTGGAAAAAAGACTTTGGGAGTTGATAGAACTATATGATCAAATAAAGATATCCCTATTAAGATTTTTTTAAACGGTATAACTTTAATATAACTTTTGTCTACAGCTAAGTCCTAAGATTCACTTTTACTACTTTATTTATTTATTTATTTATTTATTTCCTAAAAGTGAATTCTTTTTTTCGTTTCTTACCATGGACAGTGGTGATCCATTCTCCTCACACAGTGGCCACAGCGGCTGCAGTGATGGGAACGCTTTGGTCTCATCAAATTACACTTGTTACATAATTCCCAAAACTCCCTTTCTAGAGAAGGAAATTAAAATCCATTTAATAAAGGCAAAAGAGTAACACTAAAATGTAGCAACAAATGTTTAGAGGATTTTTATAGGAAGTCTTCAGTATATATCTCTTAAGAGATTTTTTGTCTTCTAAGCCTGTGTAAACATGTTTGGCATAAATGTTGCTATTCTATTTTATGTATGTCTTATTTTGTGTTTTTGTAATTTTAAACACTATAAAAATAAAACACTATTTTTATAGTGAAAGTAAGAGGTAAAAAAAATGTATTTGGGTTTTGGATATATTTCTAGAATATAAGTAAAATCTAATGACAAAACCCTAAAGTCCAACCAAATTATTTTATTAAAATATAATTTTATGTAAACCAATTAATTTCTAGAAATTTTATTTTCTAAAGGCTCTAAAGAAGAAATAATGCTGAATCCTGGTTTTCCTAAACCATTTAATTTTTAAAATATCAATAGATTCATTTGCAACATGTATAGAAGCAGGTTGAAGAAGGGTGGTACGTGGGCTTAAGAGTTATCAGAATAGTTTCAGTAGTGAAGAAAGTGATAAGAACTTTACTGGAAATAAAGGAGTTCTTTACAAAATTATAAACTACCACCAGAAGCAATTCCCTCTAGACTGTAGTAAAGAAGCACACAATTAAGTTCCATGCTGATAACATGAAGTTGTGTAAGAGAAAAGGTATTTTTTATATAAATTGCTCTAACCAGATCCAGAAAAACTATGCATTATCTTCCAAGATAAAACAATTGCCTTATTATACAAAATATATCTTTTTAATATTTGTTGATATTGAATTTTACTTTTACAAAATTCTTAAATTTTTATCACTTATGTTTAAACTACCCCTTAACCTCATTAAAAGTATGGGCATAGTAAGATTAATCTAACTCCTACATTCAGAATGGGATGGTAGCACACAGAAGGTGGTCATTAATAAACTGAACTAATAATAATGTCATTAATAAACATTAACTGCTGAACTAGGAAAAGTTTAAAATAAAATCAATGAAATATTCTAAATAAACGTAAAGAAGATAATGGTAGGTAGTGCTCGATTTTCTAAAAATGTCCTATTTAAATTCTATTATTTTAGTTTAATTGCCAGGAGTAACATCAACATACTGGAATTTTATATAGTAAAGTGTTAAAAAAGCATTCTGCTCTATATTTCTCTGAAGAAACCTATATCAAACTAATCGTTTGTTCTAATAATATGGAAGTTGAGAAATTATCTTTTATACTTGAAATCTCATTTTAAAAGAAAATCCTCTTTATTTCTTATAGTTCTTATTTCAATGAAAACTCCTAAAAAAGCAACAATATTAGCTTAATTTAGATATAATTAAACTAGTGTTATTTAACTGTAATTGAAATGAAAACATGTAGCATATTATGTCACAAGCATATCATTTTTTTCCACTTATATCAATGTTCCCCAAAATCCCAATATTAAAACTTTGAATTAATACATCTCCATGAACACAGACAGGGAGAAGACTCTACAATGAGCCAATTTTTGCTCAAAGGCAATATAAAAACTTTATGTTTGTAAATTAGTCCCTTAAAATATAAATATACAGCGTATTCATTATATACTAGAGAATAAATTCATTTCATACCTAAAATGCTCAGAAAAGAATGCTCAGAAAAGAAGACAGCATTTGGCTATAATCAGAGAAAGCCTATAATTCTGTAGTCTAGACCACAGATTGGCAAACTATAGTCTGCAGGCAAATCCAGTCCACCACCTGTTTCTGTATGATCTGTAAGCTAAGAATAATTTTTACAATTTTAAGTGATTGAAAAAAATAATAATTTGTGACATGTAAAGATCATATGAAATTCAGATTTCAGTATCCATAAACAAAGTTCTATTTGTTATGCCCACTCATTTACATATTGTCTGTGGCTGCTGTTGTGCTACAATGGTAGAGTTGAGGAGTTGTAACAGAGACTGTATGGCCCATAAAGCTGAAAATATTTACTGTCAGGCCTTTACAGCAAAGAAGAGCTTGCCAGTCTGTGGTCTGGACCATAAATTTGTTTAAAGAAAGAGCTTAAACCAGTCCTTTAGCTAAACTGAAGATACTACATAAGTATCAAAAATGAGAAATATCTAAAAAAAACTCAGTTTCACATACATGTACAAGTACACCTGTCCCTATGTGTTGAGGGCACAAAGAAAAAAATCACTATTGTAAAATTCTATAAATTTAATTAATCATCTACAATGTGTTTTTGTTTTTGATAGCAAGGAAAAATCTATCCCTCTTTACATATCCTACATATCTATAAAGTATTTTTTAGTCTTTTCCCTTTTCTTCTTCAGGATTTACTCTTACCCAAATAGCATCTTGGTGGCTGATACATTCTGTTGTTTGATGATTACCTACCTAGTTTTGTACTAGCCATCTAATAAAATAAAAGCCTATGGGAAAGAGAATTCAACTGATAATGCATGACAGCTATAGAAAAATTAAAAGCTAACACATACTTTTTTTTTTTGAGACAGATTCCCACTCTGTTGCCCAGGCTAGAGTGCTGTGGCGTCAGCCTAGCTCACAGCAACCTCAAACTCCTGGGCTCAAGCGATCTTCCTGCCTCAGCCTCCTGAGTGGCTGCGATTACGGACTACAGGCATGCACCACCATGCCCAGCTAATTTTTCCCATTTTTGGTAGTGACAGGGTCTCACTCTTGCTCAGGCTGGTCTCAAACTCCTGAGCTCAAACAACCCTCCCGCCTCAGCCTCCCAGAGTGCTAGGATTACAGGCGTGAGCCACTGCGGTAGGCCTAACACATACATTTTTAAGGGATAGAAAAATCAAATCATAAAACAAAATAAAAAGACAAACTCCATAAACAATTCAGGCTCCTTAATGTGAGTAAATAGTATCACATTGTTTAATTTGAATCTTTATTAATGCTGTAAATGTCTAAATGTATATAAAGCAATGCTTGGGTTGGTTTTGTATAACCCTCAAAAAGGAAAGAATCACCCTCTATTAAGTCTTTTAAAAGACTAACATTTTCAGAGGTCCTTTCTGAATTAACATATTTTAATTCACAAAGTAATGTTTTGGGGAGAAAACTATTACTCAAAACTACTAAAATCAATACAAGGTTTGGGTCCTAATAGAGGTCCCTGACCTAATCAGTTACCAATGTAGGATATAAATGTCAATGTCTCTTTTACAGATCACCCTTAGAAAAACTATATAAAAGGTAAGAAAAAGCAAAACTATAAGTGAATAAATTACCCTGATCATTAACAGCTCATACATCATTATAGCTCAGGGTAAAATTTTGAGGATAGTATCAAAACATGCTATATTTTTTTAAAGAATTAGAAGGAAGACTTTGCTCTGTTAACACTGTGTCAAAAAACGGCTCTAGAAATGACAAAAAAACCTGATGCCAAACATGCAGATCAGGAACTTGATTAAAAAATGTTCTGAAGTTGATTGTGGTGATGGCTGTACAACTCTGTGAATATAGTAAAAGCCACTGAATTATGTACTTTAAATGGGTAAATTATATGGCATATAAATTATACTCAATAAAGCAGTTTTTTTAAAAAGAGCTTGAATAAAATCATTTCACAAAATGTAAAAATTGATTAAAGAGTAATATTTCTAACTAAGGCATTATTTTGTATTTGTTATTTCAAATATGCATGTGAATAATTCAAATAATATAAACAAATAATGATTTCATTTGACTATTTCATTTACATGCCCAAAAGTTTATAAAATTAAATTCTGGGGGTCTTCTTATGGTAAAATGGAATATTCTCTTATATTCAAATTGCCTCATATTTAGTTGGGAAACATACCTACTAAAGTCATTCTGTTAAACAAAAACAAAGGCATGTAAAATATTTCAGAGTAATTCAATAAAAATGGTTAAAATCATAAACATAACAGGACTTTAAGTTTCCTTTTCTGAAGAATTCAAATATATGAAACTGTTCAACCTTCAAACATTTCTGAATACATGGTATTGTTCTATAGTTTTGATTCTTTAGTTATGCTATATTATTTTTCACTGTTAAAATTTTTTTTTAGTAAGTTAAAATCATATTTACAAAAGAATCAACACCAAAACATACATGAAGGCTTAAATTTTCCCCAGAATCATAAAAAAGATGAACAAAGAGCTGAAATTAATAATCTGTATATAAGGCCGGGCGCAATGGCTCATGTCTGTAATCCTAGCACTCTGGAAGGCTGAGGCAGGCGGGTTGTTCGAGGTGAGGAGTTCGAAACCAGCCTGAGCAAGAGCAAGACCCCCGTCTCTACTATAAACAGAAAGAAATTAATTGGCCAACTAATATATATAGAAAAAATTAGCCGGGCATGGTGGCGTGTGTCTGTAGTCCCAGCTACTTGGGAGGCTGAGGCAGCAGGATTGCTTGAGCCCAGGAGTTTGACGTTGCTGTGAGCTAGGCTGACGCCATGGCACTCACTCTAGCCTGGGCAACAAAGCGAGACTCAGTCTCAATAATAATAATAATAATCTGTGTATAGATCCACAGTAAAAAGATGAGGGAGACAAGGGAGACAAGAATCTGGGTTTTCTAGGTCTCACACCACCTCTACAATAACCAGCTGTAAGATCCAGGAAGGACAATCTACGTGCCTGACAACCCAGCCTACCTACCTCATAAAATAAACATGAGGGTCATACGATATGAAATACCAAAAGACTTTGGAGAAACACTAAAATATGATAAATAAGTGTATTTTTTTCGACTGGGCAAAAGGGAAGTTTCTTGGAATCAGTGAAAAAAAGTAGGCCACATATCAACTGAGATAAGATAGTATACAGACATCCAGTCAGCAAGATGCCATGGTGTACTCATCACTACAGTTTACAAACTAAAAGTAATACTCTGTGGACTCAATTTGGCCTGGAGATTTAATTTCTTTGGTACTCACAATGTTTTTAATATTTTAAATTAGTTGCCAACTTTTTTTTAAATCATAAACTTCCTCCCTCATAAACTTTGGGATTCCCTGTTTTCTCTTTAAAATGTTTAAGATCTAACAATCTAATGGTATGACAACTTCACTGCAACTGAGTAGAATCCAACCTGGCCCCTCTCACTGATTTGCAGTGTCTGCAGCATGCAGGCATTTGAGTGCTTGACCACTGCAAATTAAAGAGTTAAACAGAAATGGGTCCTGAGTTAGAAAAAAACCTGCTTCTTTGATTTGATTTTCTGAAGCCACTGGATTTTATAGTTCAAGTAGATAATACATGCATGCAATATTTTAGAGAGCTTTTGGCTAGGACAATTGGGAAGAAGAGGGATTCTGTACAAACCACAGAGTGCCAACCTTTCCAACTCTATCCCTGCCTCAAGACAGAGAGACAGACAGACACACACACACACACACGCACGCACGCACACACAAACTGCTAAGTGACAATGCTACTGTTTCTATTAGTTAATAAAAAACAAATATTCGATAAGGTGTTCAAAAACTTCTATAGCTACATAAACATCAGTTTAATAGTACCATTTAATCTCTAAATTTGCAGGGCCAAATAAGACTCTTAAATGATGGGTCTTGAAACACAACAATCAGGATTTAAGAAAGGTTCTATAAGTGACTTGTCACTTAATCTAATTTCATATGGTATTACTGCATTGGTTCCCAAACTTTGCTACACAATGGAATCACCTGGGTTCTTTCAAAAATACTGATACCTGGCTCCTACCCCCCAGGCATTCTGATTTAATTAATTTGGGATGTGCCTTGGACCTGCACATTGAGATTTTTGAAAACTCCCCAGGTGATTCTAATGTGTAGCAAGTTTGGAAGCCACTAAATTATTATCAAAAGTATTGTAGTTCTATTAATAAAATGTACTTCACAGGCATACAAATTTCTTACTAGAAGAAAATGCAGAGTTCTTAAAGCTTATATGGCAAATAGTCAAAAAGTAAGACTCAAAGAGGAAAAATAACACATGAGGTTGTACTAGATCTAATATGTAATAACTAAGCAACATATTTTCAATTCATTTTTATGGTTTAAATGGTTATTATGCAGTAGGGGGGTGAAAAATCACCTTCAACTGACACTAGAGTAAAAGGTTTTCAAATTTTTCATTGAATTGTTACAAGTTGGAAAAATATAGGCAATAATATCCATAATATTACAAATATTTACTCCAAGCAATGTTATATTTACAATATAATGAGATAAGTGGCAACATTAAGAAAATTCCTTTGTTAAGTAAAAATATAATTTCTCAGATATTGTATATCATTCCACAAATATTTACTGTGCATCTAAGTGACAGAGATTCTTCTGGACACTAGGGATACAGCAGTGAACAAATGAACAAAACAAAAAATCTACACCTTCACAGATCTTTTATGCAATAAATCTAGAATGGGAGGATGGAGACAAACAAATAAGTAAACTGAAAAGGAGAGCCAGGAAGTCAGGGGAGGTTGCAATTTTAAATAGAGAAGTCTAGAGAAGAAACACAAGAGCAAAGATTTAAAAGTAGTGTTAGATGACATATATAACTATTAATATATATTTACAGCAATAAAATATGTTAATAAAGATAACAACTTTGGCACCAACAAAACTGATAAATCAGAAGAGTACCATACCTCCATGTGGGATCTTAGGGTTCTCAGGGAGTCTTCCTGGATCAGTTATTGAGGCCCTCACTAAGGCAACCAGACAAAATATGGCAATGCCATAGAATACTTTAAAATAAATAAATTAAATAAATAAATTAGTCATTTATCCTTCAAAACAGTTTATCAATAAGCATATTTAAAGTTTAAAATGTACATTTTAATCAACATCATCAGGATGAATAATTTTCAAAAGATAAGATGGAAAAATTAAATCACTAATTCATTTTACTCACCAAATAATATTGCCAAGAGGACTATCTTAAACACACTAATTTAAAACATTATTTTGCATGAAAGTAACTGATAAACTTATTATAAATCAGACTGTTTACTAACAGTGATTCCCCATTTATACCATTATTATGGTATAAATAAATAAGCTCCCTTTCAATTATTACATATACTATATTTGAAAGGATCAAAATACCATTTTAAAATTTTTTCTACAATTAAACTTTTCCATTAACTGGCTATCTTCAAAATTACTCTGAATTAGTGATATTCAATTGCCCCTTTTGATGGATCTTAAGATACTTAATTTAACAACACAGAATTGGAAACTTTTGAATTTTAAAATTAATAGCCAGAAAAAAATTGTAAGGGAAACAAATTTAGTCACCATAATTCTACATTTTTTACTTAGTTAATAAGAATATAAGCATTTTGTTGGGGGAATAAAAAACAACACACTGCAAATGTAAAAGGAAACAGTCTGAGTGCTCAATCCAGGTCTGACTGCATGGTACTGGTCAGTTTTATCATTTACATAACAGAGATTATATTAATATTTCCTATAGCTCTTGTGAGGTCAAAATGAGGTAAGATACATGAAAACCCTAAATGCCATGCACATGTAAAATATATCATGTCCACTAAGAATTTTAATTATAAGGAAGCCATCACCAATTGACAATAGCACAAATTATCCAGAAGTTCAAAGTGTTATCATAAAAATTCATAATCAATAATTTTGAAATTCTCATTTTTCAGTATCATTCCATTCTAAAAACTTCCACATTTATTATTAAGTACACAAGAGAAACATTAAAAAACACACAAACACACAAGTTATCACCATGTGTCTTTTTTTAAAACAAACTGGTCTTTACGTTTTGTACAATTAGATAAATATAGACATATCACTTTTAGCTAACTCTGCATATATATAAACACCACTCCTCTTTTTTAAAACTTCCATAATTTTCAAATAAATGAATATTAATAGCACTACTAAAATATCAAATATGTTAAAAGGAAGGTTATCATAGTGGCATTATATTCCAAAAACATTCACAATGGGAAAAATCTTTAATTATACAAGAAAATAGGGATCTAGAAACTTACTTATTATTAATATGCCTGGAATGTGTCCTTCTTCATAGTGAGGAAAGAGGACAATTTTGGGAATTATAACAATATTGTATAACCAGACAAAGACAATCAAACCCATGCAGCACCAACCATGTGGGTCAACAACAAAGTGAATCCGGAGACCCATTCTGCAGTCCTAGAACTGCCTGCCAACCCACAAGCAAAGATGATCCTAAGGACAAGTGAAAAAGAAAAAATTACTCACACAGAAAAAATTATTTGATCAAAGCAAAACTGCATTTCTGGCAACTATAAAATGACATTTGTTGGGTTTTCTTTGTATATTTGATTTTTTAAAAACAATAAATACTTTGGAGAACTTTCAAACTTCATCATAAGTTTCAAATAATTTAATTTCACTTTTTAATTATGAATTGCTGTCAAGAATATAAACTGGCATTATCTACTGAAGTTAAAACACAAGTTTGTCCTTAACCCAGCAATTCCATGTATAAGCCCAAAAGAAATGAGTACATATGTCCACTAAAATATGTATAAAAATTGTAGTAGCTTTAATCTTAAGACTTTAATCTTATGATCACGTAAGTCAAAACAGTGGTTATCTTCTGGTGGGAGAGGTATGTATTAACTGGAAAGGGACATGAGAGAATCTTTGAGGGGCTAGAAATGTTCTTGACCAAGGTGGTACTTTATGTGTATATACATATATAAACATTCACTGAGCCATACACTTAAGATTTGTGCACTTTAATTTTAAACCATGATAAAATTTTTAAAATCATTTTGAAAAATTACAATAAAGAGAAAAGTAATTACAAATTGCTAAAAATATTAAAATTCATAGAATGATGCCCAACCAATCTCATTGCTACCAATTCAAGAAGACTCCTGTTTAAATGAGGCTTTTTCTCAGTTGAGTGTTTGTAATCTGGCAACAGATCTCCCAATGAGATACTTGAAAGAGTTATTTCTATACTTACAATACCAAAAAGTGACAAAATATATCCATAGTTTAGTAATATAACTTATAAAGCTTAAATGAGAAATTACTGTATAAAGTCTAGAGGGCACCTTTTACATAAAATATAATGGTATAATATAATAATAAACTAGGACAATGGTTCTCAAATCTGTAAGAAAACCAGAATCACCTGGGGAGCTTTTTAAAAAGACATATCCCCAGACTCCATTCCAGATCTACTGAACCATTATTCAGCTTCATAAAGCTCAAAAACCAATAAAATGTTTTAAAATGCTCTCCAGGTATCTGATACAGCTAACTGGCATCTAAGAACCACTGGTCCATGGAACTTCACTAAGCCTTTAACATTACAGCAATGAGTTGACCTTAGTTCAACAAATATTCACTGAGCCTCCACTATACACCAGTCACTTGCTAGACACTATGGAGACAACAATGAATAAGACATGGTCCTTAGTTAAAGAACTAACAGTCTAATGGGATAAAGAATCATAAAAAGGTTTAAGGTTTAATATAATAAGTTCCAGATTTGTGGACAAGATATTAGCAGGGGCACATAAGATGCAGACTAGTTAGATTAGGGTTCAAATAAGACTTCCTGTAAGAGATGAAAATTGAGTTCAGTCTTAAAAGATGGATAAAAGTTATCCAAGCAAAGAAAACTGACAACAATACTGCAAACAGAAGAAAGAGCAGGAGGTATGTAAGAGTAAAAATTGTGGGAAGTATTACAAATTGCCATCACAAATCATAAAGCTTTCCGTGGAGAGTGAGTAATGAGAAATATGGGACTATATGATGAACACCATAAAGATGCCATGTTAGAATGCTAAGACTTCATTCTTAAGCACTGGAAAGCTATTGAAGCAGGAGATTAACATGATTAAATTTATACTTTAAATACATAAATTATTGATGCTCTGTTGTGGAGGATAAAATTAAACACAGAAATCAGTTAGGGAAGAGAAGACACAAGCCAAAATTAATTTTGAAGAAAGGACCAATTGAAGAAATAGAATTAAACCAGTGAGTCTTTCTGATTGATTAGATATTAAGGATTACAGAGGAAAGAGTCAAGGATGACCCCCATATTTTCAGTTTATATTCCAGACTACTTCATTCTAAGAATAATTTATCATGGTACCCTGAGGATCTTGTCAATGTTCTTCAGAGCTATAAAATTACTGAAACAAAGAAAAAGAGAATAAGGAATACTTAATTTTAAACGAATACCTCCATCGTCTCATCTCTAGATCCCGTAAATATTGGGGCAGCGGAAAAAAAGAACTCAAGTACAATCCCACCCAACAGTTTAAATCACACATGGTTCAAATTAGCTCTTACATACAAACTCTAAAATAGAAAAAGGCCCCAAAAAGTAAAAGTTGAACTTCCTTATCTTTTAATTAGAAAATTAAAAAACTAATCAGTACCATTAAAGTGAGGAAAGTCAGAGAGGATAAAGCAAGCTATCTAATTTGTGAGGTATCATTATTTTAAAAATTAGAACTTAAATACAAATGGAAAGCCATCTACATAGCTAAAAAAAGAAACATTTAAAAGAATGTTAATTTTTTACAGTCTTGCCAACAATCAAGTGCTAAAAGAAATGACAGAAGGCTCTGTCTCTCAACATGTTCAATATTATTAATTTCATGTACCTTTCTTTTAATGTTTCAGTTCTATTTAGGACTAAAAAACAGAATATGAATTCCAATAATTAAATAGGACAGAGTAATTTCATTACTTATTTCTAAATTTATTAACATTAGAAAGAGAAAAACATACAAGCAAGAAAATAAGTGGCAAAATTATCAAATACTCATTCATTTTTGCATTTTATATTTATTCTCCCCTCCCAGAGAATAACCAGTTTTTCTTTATCACTAGAAGAGATCTCTCACAACAGAAAATATTACATAGTGAAAAGTATAATTTAAAATGTGTCATTTCTCCTGGATGTAAACATAGATAGATTACAAGCTCTAAAAGAACAAGCATCCCCAAGGAAAAGTGAGCATAGGATAGAAAAATAAAATAATAAATAAGATATTGAATATTTTTGAAATACCTGATTAGTAAAAATTAATGCCATGTAATCCTTAAAATTGGGTTGCAGAGAAGAAAACAGTGGTCTTTCAAGAGCTCCAAATAAGATTACAACTACAAATGCGTAACTGGTAGAGTTGCAAGATCACTCCACTCAGTTAATATCTAGCAGGCGTGGCTTAGGGCAGAAGAGAAACTATTACACATCCTGAGCAACAACCGACCTAAACACAATGCTGTTACTCGGTCTAGCATTTATAAAAAGTTAGAGATTCCAACATATTAATTTGTATATTAAATGGTGAGCTCATAACTCAAACTTTGGTGTAACTAGGTGGCTATACTGGTACTGCAACATTTTTTAAGATTGCTGTCTGGTACTTGAGTGCAGTGACTAACTTCATAATGATGTAAATTACTACAGCACAAACTTTTATAAAGAAGTTATAATTCAACTCTAATAAACTTGACAGAGTAAATATTTACAGTGTTCAAGTTATTCCGATGGAATACCACCTTTCCATTTTTTTTGTTTTTTTGCCTTTTCAGGCAACTGTATTGCACCACGTATTTTCCTCAAGAAGAATACTCAAGTCACTATAAAAAGAAAATAACCGAAAGCTACCATATGACAAAAAAACTGTAACATCAGCATGCAGTTTTAGGAAATCATAAAGATTTAGCTAAAATAGTTAACAAGAAATCTAGCTAAACAGTTATCTCTACACTTGCAGTTTTATCTGATTCTCCACCTAGGCAAAGTGGTCTCATTACTGTTCCATGAACATGAAAAAATATATTCCATCACACATTCCTCCCATCTGAAATGTCCCTACCACACTGCTTACTCTATTTATCACACTTCATTGCCAATTTGAATCTCACTCTCCATATGGAAATTTTCCTGGCATCTCAGTTTCACAGTGATTTCTCTTTTTCTTCTAAATATTATTAAAAGGAAAACTATTAGAAGAAAATAGCAAGTGGTTTTATAATCTTGGAATGAGGAAAGCCTTCACAACCAAGATCCATAAGCCATGTTTGACCACATAAAAAACAACATTTCTAAAGCCCAAAGCACACCAAAAACAAAGTTAAAAGACAAAGCATCCCTGGAAAATATATCACAACACATGATTGGTAAGAGTTATACAATGTAAATATATAAAGAGGCAATTCACAAAAGGGAAAAAACCCAATGGCTAATCATTACTGATTAGGAAAATCTATAATAACTTGTATATTTTTCATCCATTGTATTGAAAAACTTTAAGAACAACAGATGCTACCCAATATTGAGAAGGCATAGAAAATATGACTCTCATACATTACCAGTGCGTGTGTAAACTGATATAATCATCTTGGGAGGGCAATTTGGCAGTATGTATCAAAATGTAAAACCCTTTTACCCAGCAGTTTTATTTTTAGTAATACCTACAAAAGTACTCATGAGACTGTACAAGTACATGAAAGTGCATACAAGGATGTACAAGGAGGTACAAGGATACAGCGCTTTTTGTAATCACAAAAATGTGGCACAACCTAAATGTCCATGTGGATCGATGAGAATGATCAAATAAATTATATCTATAGTGTAAAATATTTCCAAGCTACTACAATTAAAAAAAAAACAAGGAAAAAGGGAGGCATATCTAGATCTGCATATGACTATTCATAACATATTGTTGAATGAATAAAGCAAGTTACATTGGCTAAATCTATGGGAGTTTAGGGTAGACTTTAATAGTGTTTTTTCTGGAGGGAGGGAGGATAAAGATAGACTAGAAAGAGACATGAGAGAACTTTCTGTGGTGCTAATAAAGATCTCTTGATATGAAGTTTGAGTTACACAAGGATATGAATTTGTCAAAAGCCAGCAAATGTACCTTTAGGATTACACTAACATGTACACTTAAGTGCATTTCATGGTATGTAAATTTACCTTAAAAAACACTGTAAACCAATATTAAACTCTAGTTTATGATGTGTGTGTATGTGTGTATATATATATATATGTGTGTGTGTGTGTGTATATATATATATATACACATATATGTGTGTGTATATCTCCGTGTATGTGTATATATATATATATACACACACACACACACACACACACTGACGTATGTATGGGAGAAGTGTACTGATATCTGCAATCTACTTTAAAATGTATCCAAAAGACAAATAGCAAAGAGTACTTACTGATAAGTGGACAGCAGGATAGATGAGTATGTGATGAAGTTCAGTAAAATACTGGTACAGAATCTAAGTGATGGGTATTCATATGTTACACTACAAAATTCTTTCAATACTTCTGTTTGAAATTTTTCAAAATTAAATGTTGGGGGAAGCAAGTTATAGAATAGTTTGTATAGCATTTTTTGTTCGAAAATATATGTATATGTGTAAAAGTAATTTCTGCATACGTATAGAAAAAACGTCTGGAAGAAAACATACCAACTGAGGTTTTAACAGTGATTATCAATGAGCTGAGGGAGGAAAGAGTCATGGAAAAAAGGCTTTCACATTTATGTATATATTTATGTGTTCTAAGTTTATCGACAAACATGTACTTCTAGATTCTTTTCAACCAACTAAAAAATAGAGATAGCCTAAGGGACACCAACCTTACAAACAAAATGTTTAATTTAAGCCTCTCTTTATCATGACATATTATCCTTGTATTAAATGTTTTTAAAATTAGTATTTTTAAAATGCAGTATAAAAGGATCAGCTGCATAGCCATGTAAGATTTGTAATTCAGAAAGATGTTTCTGAAACTTGTATTATTCACAGATTATTTTTCTCTATGGAAAAAGTCTTATTTAAGAAAACATGCTTAGTTAAAATTTAATATGACAACTTTTAAATAAACACAAAGCAACTACATTTGCTAATGAATAATGAAGTGCATCTAAACATAAGACTCCAAGGACATTACACCACATAATTCAAAAACATATTATCATGTAAAATCAAATGCAAACTTACCACTGGCAAATTCACTGAGATGTGTTGTAATTTTTCTGATACTTGCATTTAGAGGTTTTCTCTTGGTTCATTCTTTTTTTTATTTTTTAAATTACATCCCATTAAATGGATCTCTCTTTAATACCAGTTCTTCATGAGAACCTATCAATGGTTTAACAAATAATAATCTCTCACAAAGATAAAAATTGTAAGCAGCTAAATATTCTAACTGAAAATGCCAGTTACAAACATTTTAAATTTAGAAATAGGAAAAATATTTTGACATCTGATTCTGTGCTTTCATATCCCACCCATCTCCCCAGAATTTCATCACCATTATACATAAAAGTTCTCTTTTGAAACCACTTAATTTCCATAAAATCAAATAAATGGCATTTGGGCTTCATCAGACTTCCTTGACCACAAATCACAAAATAACAATAGATTCTGCTAGAAGTATCTAATCACAATTGATAAACAGAGAATAAAGAGTTTAAAATACAAGTTTTAGTTTGAAAAGCTTTAAGAATAAAACCATTACAGGAGGACTGCTTGACCCCAGGAGTTCCAGACCAGCCTGGGCAACATGGTGACCCCATCTCTACCCAAAAAATTAAAAAATTAGCCAGCACGGTACTGTGCACCCATAGTCTCAGCTAACTTGGGAGGCTAAGACAGGAGGATCGCTTGAGCCTAGGAGTTCAAGGCTGAACTATGATCATGCCATTCTACTCCAGCCTGGGTGATACGGTGAGTGGGGAGAGCAGGGGATGAGGGAATGCAAGGAAGAAATATAAAAAGAGACAGATTCTATCCTCAATGGAGACAGACTAGTAAACAGACAAGATCAATACTATATAAGACAAGTTAAGATACACAGGAAGGGGGCAAGAATGCATTTCATATGTTAACAGTAAAGGTATTGGTTCACAAGTTGCACTGTAAAATGTATTTTATAGTAAGTTGTCATCAGGAAAAGATTCCTGGAAACAGTGAAGCGTGTGAGTTAGCTAGATGAAGAATGGAGGCTCTTCTGACCAAAGGAGCAGAATAAGTAAAGGTATAAAAGTAGGCAGAGAAAATCTAAGTAAACCAAAATATTAATAACTAGGATCATTGCATATGGAAGAATAGGGTAAGATGTCCAACCTTTTAACCACATATAATTCTAAGAAATTAATTATATAACATTACTGTACATACAGAAATGTATGAATAACTACAAAAGTTTAATGAAATGATATTCACCCTTATTACGGTACACTTTGATACTGCTATTTTATTTTACTTTTTTTTTTAAGAGATAGAGTCTCACTATGTTGCCCAGGCTGAATGCAGTGGCTATTCACGGGCATGATCACAGCACACTGCAGCCTTGCACTCCTGGGCTCCAGTGATCCTCATGCCCAGCCTCCCAAATAGCTGGGGCTACAGACATGTCATACTACCACATTTAGCTTATTTTACCTTAACAAAAATATATAATGCTGGTCACAGCCTACTAAACTGATTTCATGACTCACAGATAGACAGCCACCCTCAGATTGAAAACACTATTAAACAATGTCAATGAGTTTGAACTTCACCCTGAATGCTGTGGAAAACCATTAAGAATTTTAGGCAGTAAAATGCCATCATCCAATTTGCATTTTGGGAAGAATAGCAACAATATGAAGGTTGGATTTGAGTAGATGGATACAGCACTGAGACTGCCTATAGGCAACCCGGTTGGCTGTTACCCAGTTGAGAAATAATGAGGGCATTTGGGGTAAGCACACCCAAAATGGTAACTTACATGGGGAATTGCAAGTGTATATGTATGTGTGTATGTGTGTGTGTGTTTGTGTGTTTTAAGTGATACTTAAGACAGGAGGCATGCTGAAAAAAGGCAGATCTAGAAGAACTTAACGAGTAAAACTGATAAGACTTAGTGATCAATTGGAGAAAAGAACAAATTCTAGGATTGCTCCCAAGTTTCTGGCTTAAAGACTGTGAAGAGCGGTACCATTCTCCAAGGCAGGAAAAGTACAAGGTTACTAGCATGCTGCTTACCACAGCAACACCAAACTATTACACATGAGGATGTGAAAAAGACATCAAAACCATTATCATTAAATTTCCATTCCTCTTATATATTTAGGGGAATGGGAAAAAAACCCTACATCTTCTCCCAGGGTCAATTTTTCTATGGTTCATCATTGCTATTAATAGATTGTCAAATGTAATCCGTTCCTACTCTTAACTTTTTAAACTAATTTAAAGTGGTCTCCTTGGCTACAACTTTGCTTCTTATACATAAAATATGGAATGACAAAGTTAAGGAGCTGCCACCCCAATGGCAAATGAATGAATTGTTCTTCCAGAAAAAAATTCAAACAGAATTAAATGTGGTACAACAAAATGTTTTGAAACATGGTCAAAGCCAATAATGCTGCTAAGGCTAAGATTCTAGGATGGCTTTCCAATGTTTCAGCAAAGCAGTAGTTTCTTTCTGTCAGTAACATTATTAGGTAACAGCACATGCTGATCATCTGTGAGTCAGATCCCAGTCATTCACTGGGTTAAAATCAAGAAAAATCTACTTTACATTTACAGTTATTAGAGCTACACTGCAGACACAGCATCTGAAATGAGATTAACATTCCAGTGCTAGATCAACACTACCACCACCACTGCAAAATCAAATCTCATGATATGGCATAAAAGTAATGCTAGACCTGAACTTCCATAAATAAATAAATGGAATAACAAAAAATATTCCAAAGTTTAGGAACTATAAAATGTCATTCAATATTTCTAATATTGCTATGTCTCAAAGAGTATAATCAACAATTTATAGTGAAAGCTTTCAAATGCACCAGAAATAGTTTTCCCACAGTGCCAAGAGAAAATGGTTAATATATAAGATGAATATATGAAATTTAAAATGTATTAATTACAACTAAAAATGAATTTAAAAAACACAGAGCTATGGCTATAATACCTTTAAAGAAATTTATAAAGCTATCTGACTTCTGATTTTATTCTATTCTGAAAACTGGTCAAGTGTGGCAGTTAAATAATTCTATCTAAAATATCAGGCACCAGTTGACTCTAACAATTAGTGAAGTAATTCAACTTTTTAAATGTCACATAGATATTTTGTTTATTATCAACAGAGTAGAAAATTAATCTTGTACAGATGTTAAAAATACATGCCCATGTTTAAATGAAGACTTTTTTTTTTCTGAGACAAAATCTCACTCTGTCACCCAGGCTAGAGTGCAGTGGCATCATCATAGCTCGCTGCACCCTCAAACTCCTGGGCTCAAGCGATCCTCCTGCCTCAGCCTCCCAAGTAACTGGAACTACAGATGCATAACACCATGCCCAGCTAATATTTTCTATTTTTAGTAGAGACGGGGTCTCACTCTTGCTCAGACTGGTCTCAAACTCTTGAGCTCAAATGATCCTCAAACCTTGGCCTCTCAGAGTGCTAGGATTACGGGCATGAGCCACCCCACTCGGTCAACACAGACTCCTATTTACTTCTCAAGTTTTAGGTTTTTTTCAGCTTCAGTTTGACCACTTGTAAAATGGGAATAAAATGACAGTTTACAAGGTTGCTGTCACGCTTTAATGAGAATTTGCCTGGCAAAGAAGCAGTTCCTCCAAAATGGTAACTTTACAGAGTAGTGGAGGAGAGGAAAGGAAACTTAAAGATAAGTTTTACTTCTCCTTTAGCAAACTCCAGAATGAAACAATGTTTCTGGGTTCCCATCATTAAAAGTAGTGAAACAATTTAACGATACTTTCTCTTTCTACTTTCTCTAGCATTAAAGTCCGTGAACTACTTGTCAGAGAAAAACCTCTGACAGCCTTTTACCTAGTATCATAGTATTATACGCATTTAAGGAAGTTGTATTTCCACATGTTGGCCTGAGATCTCTTAAAGCAGAAAACAAAAAAATAGAGATTTGATCTAAAATAGAGTGACTGAACTAAAGCCCCTAAACTAAATCTCTTTCAGAAGGACTAGGCAGCTAAGGAATGAAGTGTGGAAAAAACAGTACTTGATTTCAGAAGCTATGAAGTCTATATAGTTAGAGCAGGGAATTCTGAATCAATTGCTGAGTCCTCCAGGAAGACGCTGTGAAAATGTGGGTGGGCAAAGTATCAAAGCATAACATACTTGAACCATCGATGGTCTCAAGAACCCACTCCACAAAACAAGTCTTTAAATCACTACATTCTGGGCAAAACTGAACATAAGCTGTTCCTCCTGATTATAAACTCTGTGTATCTGCCTCATGAGTGAAAAACAAATATAAATACCTCTATTAACAATACTACACTACAGTGACACACCATCAGAATCTCCTAACAAAAAGTAAAATAATTTGGAAGGTATGGGTAATATGAATTAAAGACCACGAAATATTGTTTCAGTCAGTACAAAATGCCTATGTGGGAATTTTCATTAGGGAGGTAGGAGTGTGGGAAAGGGGGAAGAGGAAAGGCAAGATTAAATGCAGGGTAGGAACAAGCAGCAACAGAGAACTTTTGCTCCAAAAACAGCATGAGTAAAAACCTTCAGATGTAGTAAAAACCAGAAATGAAGAGGCTTGGGCTTTTCCTGGATGTGAATCAAGCATGTTCTTCCAAGAGGGAAGGGAAGCCAGCTACTTACCTTCTAGTACCCCTGCACAAAGACAGATCGGGGATGGGATAAGGAATACTAAATTAGATATTCACACTGGGCTTTCCCACAGAAGGAATTTTTTTTTTTTTTTTTGAGACAGGGTCACGCTCTGTCACTCAGGGCTAGAGTGGGAACAGTGGCATCATCATAGCTCACTGCAAGCTCAAACTCCTAGACTCAGGCAGTCCTCCTGCCTCAGCCTCCTGAGTAGCTGGGAGTACAGGTGCATGCCTCCACACCCACCCAAGAAGACATGATTAAAGAATACTAAGGCTATAAGAAAAATCTCTCCTCAACTGCTTGCTGAAGCTTAAATCCTGTAGTAGATGAAAAAGTTATTTATTCTATAATTATGGATAATAAAAGGCTTAAAATAAAAATCAACATTTGTGTGTTGTAATCACACAAATTTTTTTTAAGTTAGAAGTAAAATAAAATTAATCAGTGAATGGTAAAATGCTAATTTTTACCTAGCCTGCCCTTTTGTGAGAGGGACGACAGACAGGTGAAGAGAGTAGACACCTACTCAGTCTCTGAAATGGGGAAGAAGGTTAATCTACCCTGAGAGAAATAGCACAGGGGAAAAGGAGGCCTGAAACGCAGAAGATAAACTTTGAAAATGTCACGTTTTTGCCCAGAGTAGACCTAAAGTAAATAAACTACCATCCCACTAAGGTGTTTTTGGTCAGGTAGCAATCAATGAGCACAGTGCTGCTTCACGTGTCTATGAAAATGTACTTTTTAAACAATTTATCAGGGATTCTTAACCAACAAATCACTGTCATAACAATCAAAAAGAATTTTTCTATTTATTCTTGTCTTTCACCTATATTTTTTATTGATTCAAAATACGTCAGACATTTTCACCTTTAATAAAAGATATTTATGCACTGATTATTTTACTAGATGCTAAATTGCCTTTTATATCCAGTGCATTTGAAAAGTTGAATCTGAGCCCTGATGTTTTACTAAAATGATATGAAATATATACATTCCTTAATATAAAGATATGATATAAAACTGATTTTAGGGAATGACCTCTTGGCAATAAAAATTGCTTTTCCCCTGCCTTCCCTGTTATGCCTAGTATAATAGTATTGATACTGCCACCATGTAACCTCCTATGTTGAAAAAGTTTTCATTGACTCACACTGAATTACAATTCCAGAAAAAAGTTCCAAGGAGATATTATTAAACTTCTCAGTCAGTTTCTTCAGTAGGCCAAGGCATTATTTTATTCATGTGCTTTTCCATAGGTTCTGAATCAGACACCATGAATTAAAGAAATGAGGCAGTGGGCAAACAAGTAAAAAAAATTATGATTCACTAATTATTAGTTCTTGTTTTAGAACCTACCTAAGCTAATGATTATGTGTGTGCATTTCTAAATGCTTACATTTCTTTTATTAAACAAAGCACCCCAGAGATAGGTAATGTGACACAGTTCTCATCATTTTCTTTAAAATACACTCTATTTCATTTATTCCAACTACAGCTTCTCAGGTATGTTAGGTTTAACAGAAATCTCAAGACCTAATATAATTCCATTGTTTAAATCCAAAATAATGAATTCTAGAATAGTACTACCCCAAAACAGTTATACAATTATAAAATTTTTACTTACATTTTGATACAATTTTACTAATACTTTATGACATAAATGTTCTAAATGTATATGTTAAGGGGTCTTAAATTACTTACAAGTATAGCTTTTGCCAAGTAAGCATGGAAAAGCTAAAATATACCTTAAAGAATTTAGTCAGACTCTATAGTGGTATAGATGACAAAACAACATAGGCCACTGACCTACCTATGACCCTACTGCTGAATAGTGACACAAACGGGACTAGAATCTAGTTTTCCTTTCCGCAACACCAAATCTCATTTGGTTCTTTCTTTCCAATTGATTTCTCACTCCAACTCTTCTTCAAAAACTTTTCACTTCTAAGCACACAACTAAGGTAAAATAGAATATGTCTCTGAATTTTATCTTTAAAAATAAGTAAAATTTAAAGAGTTGGAAGAATTTAATGAGATATTACACCAAAAGCCTTTTAATCCAGGAATGGCGCATCCTAGACAGTAATCAAATGGTAACTATCATTATTAGTCATATTTTTACCACAAGAAAGGCAGTGAATATTTTAAAGTGCACATATTAGCACAGTAGGCCAAAGACCCATTTGACACATCTTTTTAACTTGCACTTAATTATCCTTAGTCCTCTTCATTTTAGACTGTAACTTTACACTATAATTTATGACCCACCCACCATGACCTTGATCTTTTTTTTTTCCCCCTGTGTACTGTTATGGACTGCTGTATTGAAATACTTTCAAGTAATAATTGGTCAGGTCCTCTTAACCCTGGAGATACAGGCATCCTCTACTGACTCAGAAGGGATTTTAAAATGTGACCCAAATATGGCTTGAGAAACACCGTAACTTAATTAAATGGTCGCTACAGGTAAAATCCTATGACCTATTACAGTGAATGATAACAAGTGCAAACTGCTGCCATCCATAAGCCATTTTCTCAAACCACCCTGGGATCTGGGGGAGGGGAAGAGAGAAGGTCAATACAGGAGCAAACTCTTTCTCCTCCTGCTAGTCCTCTGCCGCCTCACACCAGAGGGGTGGGAATGAATGAGAGGCTCTGTAAGGAGAGCGCAGAGAAACACGGCAGCCGGGCGCAGGTCTCCGGGCTGGGGTGCGGAGAGGGAGAAACTCGAGGCACAGATTTTCTTTTTTGTTTTTTGGGTTTTTTTAACTACCCCAAATCATCTCGACTACAGCAGCACCCCACCCACCACCCCTCGCGGGAGGGGCACGTGGCAGGTGGCTCAGCTCCGGCAGGAGATGCTCTGAGAGAGGCCAGGCCGGGGCGGGGGCGCTGAGCAGCGCCGGGGTGCAGCCGCGGCGGGGCAGGTGCGGGGAGGGAAGGGGGGCCCGGGGGGCGCCGGGACAGGTGAGAGCAGCCGGGCCCGAGGAGCCGCGGGTGGAGCCCGGCGAGGCGGGGCTGGGGGGCCGGCGGGGGCCGGCGGGCGGGCGGCTCGCCCCCGCGCGCGCACACACTCACCGGCGCCGGCGGGCTCGCCTCTCACGGTGGCTGCTCTCGCGGCCGCCAGCGGCTCCGTCCCCTCCTCCTCCTCCTCCTTCGGTGCCGCCGCCGCCGCCCAGGCCCGGCCGCGCTCCCTTTCCGCTTCCGGGAGCCTGAGCGCCTGGACCGGCCGAGTGGGTGTCCGCAAGCCCGCGTGCCCGCGCGGGGAGGGATCGGCAGCCGCCGTCGCCGTCTCTGCCTCGCGCCCAGAAGCTGCGATGGGAGCCGCCTAGGGCCGAAAGACCAGAAATCGCGCCGCGGCCCCCAAGCCGCGCGCCCGGTGGGACAACGGTCGCCAGAACGCTCGCACCTGGCGCACCTCGGCGCCTCCGCCCTGCCCTACCACCCCTTCCCAGCTCTGCCCGGCCCCCCTTCTCGTTGCCCCTGCTCTCTCTCCACGCCCCTCTCCGGAGCGGAAGGAGAGGGGCCTTATCCTTAAAGATTGCATGCATCCTCCTTCCTGCTAGGTGTATCGCCAGCAGGCCTCTCTCCCCACTGAGGCGGTCTGGGTGTCCCATGGTACCTTGCTTCAAAGTGCGGTCTGCGGCAACAGCATCCTCTGGGAACTTGTTAGAAATGCACACTCTCAGGCCTGTTGAATCAGTTTCTGCAGTTTAACAGGATCTCCAGGTGATTCCTGCAGGTGCACCTTAAACATTGAAACACACTGCACTCTAGTGCATGCTCTCATCCACTTCAGACCCTCTAATGGGATGGATACCCTAGCCCTCCAAGATTTTTCCTATTCCTGTTGGCAACCTAAATCCGTACCCAAACAAACTTTACTTGTATTTCAAGAGACCTCCAAAAGTTGCCGGCTTTCCCATCACTGCAACCTAGGAAAACTAGACACAACAATGCAAGTAATCCGCCTCCCAATCTAATTTGGTATCTTCACCATACACCAGAGATACACTGAAACCGTGTCCACCTCACTCCAGCTGAACAGTACTTTGAGAGATTAAACTGTTTGCAGTACTGTGGAGCTAGATCTTTGCACCCATATGCGACAGGATGGAAAAAATATTACTTGCAGTATAAAATCTGTACTCCTTATAAAGTGGAATAGAAAGCCCTCCACAAACGAGTCCCTCCCCACCTCTCCAGTCTTAGCTCCAACTAACTTGGTTCCCTTCCCCATTCTAGAATGCTCTACTCTCTGATGATCTTAATCCTATCTGAATTTGAGAGTCAGCTGAAATCCTGCCAGCCCAGGGTTCTCTCTCACCACTGCACTTATGTATCACATATTGTATTAATAGCTATTGTAGGCTCTTATGTTACCATGTATTGGTAGGGAGTTTTAAATGTGTTATGTCCTGGTTTCTGAACTAATTACAAACACCTTACGACCTTAAAGATTTCTTTCAAGTAGTAGATATCAAAGTGGGGTTCCCAGGCTAGCAACATCAGCATCACTGGGAACTTGTGAGACATCCATATTCTCTAGTCCCACCCCAGATTCACTACTATGTTAGAAACGCTGGAGATGGAGCCCAGCGATCTGTGTTCTAACAAGCCTTCCAGGTAATTCCAATGCACACTCAAGTTTTATAATTACTGACCTAGATTATTGTCTCATACCCCAAAGGAACCCAGTCATAGGGATTGATTTGACTATATCCAGGTTTCATTGCCTTTTGTGTTAACAAATAAGTTCCCCCGTTCATGCATAGCTAGGTTGGAATGATGGTCACAATTGCTTTGGAAGAATTCTCTTTAATTTTCATAATACATTTGATGTACTAGGATTTTTATAACTTGATTTGTTTGAAAAGGAGAAAATGAGTCACTTTGAAGGAAGAAGAAACATGTGAAATCTCCCCACTCAGCTACCTGAATTGCATACTATTTTGCTCTCTCTTCAAATATCCCTGTGAAAGGGAACAATTTGTGTCAATGATCTCGAAAATGCCAAAATGAGAATTGGTTGACAGGGCCATGAATACACATGACAATTGGAAGTGTACAGATTTTTCAGTATCTTTTTTGAATGAGTTAACCTATCTCATATCAGCCAAGTCAATTCCACAAAGAATTTTCTAGGAAAGGAATGGAAAGAAATAAGTAGCAAGAAAAACTGTCTCAAAATCATGAGCCTTTTTAGCATGGCCAGTTAAGAAGTATAATCAAAGGCCTGCCTATCCCTACTTTGAAGGTCAAGTTATCTAGTACTATCATACATGCTAAGCATTGATCGCATTGTATTGCAACCCACATAATCAGACACCTGTGTCACAATGATGGAGTGGGGGGATATGACATCAGGTAATCTTTTTGAAGAGCTTTTCTATTTACCAAAAGGATGGAAATAAGATATATGTCACACACTATTTATTCCCTCCAGAATTCTAGTCTACTTCATAGGGCCTGTGATGAACCAAAACATGATTACTAATCAAACTAATATTTATCTGGGAATAGAAAAAGTAGACAAGGACAAAGTAGCATGCTTCCAGTGCCAACTTAGCTTCCAACAAAGGCACAGTCGGAGCATTTATGTGAATAAACTCAGCCAACTACTGTGCTTCTCTGCCGTGACCAGGGAGGACTGGATTTTAGTGCAATTTCCAAAAGTCAGTGCAGTCCAGAGTTTAATCAGTACTGGCTAATAGCCCTTGGCAGCTTTGGGTGGATGGCGTTCTCCACCTGCCCAGCTGGGTACCATGCCCTAAGCACCCACATTTGATGCACATTCATGATTTTTTGGTTGCTTATAGTCATCTCCCCCATCTGTTTGAATGGCAGAGTGCCCATTTCACAACAGTCTAATATTTGAAAAATTATTCTTAACCTCTTTTGGGTTACACATCTCTTTGAGCATCTGGTGAAAGTTGTGGATGCTCTCCCCAGTAAAGTGTGTGCACAAACACAAATATATATAAACATGTACATATATATTTGTATGTAAAGTTTCACCTTGCCATGCCTCCAGAGTATCACAAAGCCATGACATTCAAGCTAAGAACTTTCCCTACGATGTAAAGAGTAAGTCAAAGAAACTTTTTCCCCCAAATATCAAGGAAAACTCTAAAAGAACCACTGTGTGCTTAGGAGACAAAAAAAAAAAAGCAACACTAAATAGAGTTACAAGCAAAGTGCTATGGGAGTGCTAAAGAAGAAACCAGTAGTTTCAACAGGGTGGTTCAGAGATGGCTTCATGGAGAAAGGTTCTTGCATTAGGTAAAAGAGAAAAGGATTTTTAATTGGGACAAAAGAGAGAAAGAAATTTCAGGAGAGGGGAAAGTTGAGCAGAGACATGGAGACATGAAAGTGCAAGGGTCTATCTGGTGTGGCTTAAATGTAGAGTACATGGAAAGATAGAGAAGGGGGTGGAAAGGTAGAACAGAGTCAAACCATGGGGAGCCTCAGAAACAATGCTATTTCCAATGCAGAGCTATTAGAGAAGGCTATTAATGTCTTGCTCTAAACTGGAGAATACTCTATTAGTGAAGGATGTGGCATTATCAAAAGGCAAAGTAGTAGGGCATCTGGAGAGGTTCTAAATATTCTAAATTGGAACCTGTTAAGTGAAGCCACATAGCTTTGCTTCAACTTTTTAGGGTTGCTTTCTGTTTGCTCTAGAAGTTTCTATTAAAATAAATCAAGATGAATCTGAGATTCTTACCCTTGGCTAAGAACCAGTGAGGAAATATATCCTGGTGAATGTTCAGGTGAGTTTCGAGTCCGGGATGCAGAACAAGCTAAAATTGGTTCAGGATTGAAAGAGTGAAAATCAATTTGGACTGAAAACAGAAAAGAAGTCCTGCCACTAATCAGGCTGGGAGGACAGACACAAATAAAGCCAGCTGCAAAATTAACAGGAAACACTAGTTCTGCCAAAGTCATGCAGCAGTTATAAAATGCCATAATGACCTTTTCTTTGGGTGATTACTGACTTCTCACCAATGACACCCCAGACCACCTGCTAACTTCATTTGTTACTAGAGATATTCCATTGTTCAACCATCATCACTTCATGATAGCACCCAGTCCCTAGTTAATTCCACCCTTTTTTTAAAACCACCTTAAAATATCCAATCCAGAATAGATCCCTGCTTCCCTTAGATTATGGATGGGGAAGCTTTTCATATTAGAAGGCAACATTAATTTGGCCATAATCAAATAAGACCATATTCAAGAAACCTCAATTAGATATACTTAAAAATGTATGTTATTTTTAAAAATCTTATCTATTAAGTACCTAATAATTTCAAAATACGAAAACTATTTGTTAAAGTTAACTAACATTTTAATGACTTCATTGTGTCTGCCTTTTGTTGGAAAGCATTTAAATAACTGGTTGCAGCTGGGAGGTCTGCAGTTTCAGTTGATCCTCTAGATGGGTATCAGTCATTTGTGACCTTAAGGGCATCTTGATTTGGGTTAGGAAGGAGAATATAGATTAGCAGCAATAAGTGGTTGTAAAGCAAGAAAACATTTTTCAGGCATGTTGCTGAAGGCATGGGTATTCTACTGCATTTTTCGATATTTCAATTGGATCTATCTTAGCATCAAACAATGACTTTAAAATGTCATCTACTGAAAGCTCAATGAATTCCATCTGTAGTTCTTTAGGTGCTTTGGTGATATTAGCTAGGTGAGGCTGAAATGCTAATTTGAGCGTGATGTCATGATTCTCAAAGTCAGTGAAACTTTCATTGTATTCTCCAATTGATAGGTCTATAACAGCTACATATTCTTCAAATGATTCGTATATATCATCCT